ATTTTACTTGTGGTAGATTGTATTGTACGCAATGAGGACGCCCGGTTAGTCCTTCCGTTTATGGCGCCGAACTTCGCTATGCAAAGCTACGTCCCTTTGACAAGCCGAAGCCCTGTGAGTTCGGACACGTGCTATCAGGGGCGTAGTTGCCATTATAAAAGGGCTTAAAACTTATTGTTGCTAAAAGAGTTGGGCAACCACTCAATACTATCTGAATATAAATATAACTTTAGCAACTACCTGCACCATTTCCTGTTTTCTAGGCAATCCATGGCCAGTGACACTGTTCAAGACGACGATAAACTAAACTCACCTGACTGACTCACTCAGAGTGCATCAACTCCGGGACCCAACCCTATCTAACATGTATACACCAGGCTGCAGAACACACTCTCGTTTATTGAACAACGTTCAAGTGACGGACCCAGTGATCACGACCTCTCGTGGTGTTGATATATCTATTGTTCTTTGTGTTCACGTGTGTGACCTATGACCCGGATCCAACGGATAAAGTCCTTTTATAACTGTGATCTCTCCAGCCAACTGGCACTGATACTTTGCATTTTAAATATTTATACTTATGAATTACGTCCATTTAAGATTGGTTGGTTGGTTTGTTGTTTAACGCCGCACTCAGCAATATTCCAGCTATTTGGCGGCGGTCGGTAAATAATCGAGTCTGGACCAGACAATCCAGTGAACAACAGCATGAGCATCGATCTACACATCTCTTTAAGAAGATGGCATGACTTCATTTGTGCAATATTAAAGGCAGATATATATAAGTGAATAAACTAATCCTATTTTATTTCATGATCAAATTGTTGAACAAAACTAACAAAACGTGATTCATTTTCAGCTCATATACTTCGAGATAAATGAGGCCTTATGTAAATTCTATCAATAACTCGCCGTTTAGAATAAGTCAAATTAAGTTGAATAAACGAAAGAAATGCCCTCTCTCGAGAAACTGCTTCATCAAGTGACGAGCCATATACGACACATATACGTGTTCAAATACTTTTAGGTGGGGCATCTTAGTGGTTAAAGCCGTTCGTTCGTTAAGCCGAAGACCCGGGTTCGAATCCCCACGTATGTACAATGTGTAAAGCTCATTTCGGGTGTCCCTCCCCTATTATCGTAAAATTCGAAGTGAAATGACACTCCCTCCCTAAAGTATGAAAATCTTCAACCTTATTATTTGAATGACCTTCAACACCGAGCTAACATGCCGCAATATGCAATATAGCCGTCATACTGTTCATATCGACGTGAACCCAAACTCACTCACTCACTCCACAGGCCATGTTAAATACACCATTTCAGAGCATTTGTCCATTAGACAGAAAGATTTGGAGCTTCGATTTTTCACATGGGAAAATTGTGTCCAGTCCGTTATTCCAAATGAAGCTTGAAGGCTAGGTAAAGCGAATGATTTACCGAGTCAGCCATACGAAATGAGCAAGGGCGTCAGTAAGAATCGGCCGAGATTTCATAAACCTGGTTGTGTTAGCAGATAAGCCCATGCATGAGAGACCTCGTTACTGCTTCTGGTAGCCTGCAGTCGATAGTCGAACATTCGACACTTGCAAAATTCGACGCCCTCTTATGATCACGTGAATGATGAAGCTGCAAAGGTGTGACCCATCAATGATTGAGTCGCTGCGCCCACAGATGACCCAGTTCCCACAGTGCCCTCCATTTGCAGCAGCACCAGACTGGAGGGCATTGTCACTGATGAAACGGTGCTCATTAAACAGCACTAATCAAGTCAAAACATTGGTTACACAACAGTCTCGTTTCCTGCTGACTTGGTTCCATCCTAGTGCGCATATTAGTACAATAACTAGTCCAGAATTTTGATACCAATTCATTCAACTGGATACATAAATATTAATCAGTATTATTTAATTATACATCTAAGCACTTGTATATTGCAACACTACGCTCCTTCTACTCCTTGCAAACACGTCGTACAGCGTGCTCTGACAAACGGAAATATGGAAATCGTGGAAATCTCCAAATGAAGCTCTACCGCTAGAAACGATTGGCGGTTTGGTACGGACTTGATATTATATCAATCACATTGTACGTTGCAAAACTACACTGAATATGCGCAAAGAACACATAACATGTGTAACCAGGGAGCCAAATGAAGTGTGAATTATTTTACGACTTCATCAAACAGGGGCAGACTGTGACGTCTTAGTTAAGGCCATGCTGCCTACACCTCGCCATACAATATAGAAATACGATGTATTAAAGTTTAAAATTAAAATTAACTTGTAAATATCAATTTCGTATGAAACAAGGAATTGGAATTCAGTGTAACCATAGACGTTTGTGGTGTCTGTTTTCACTTTCACACGAGAAAATTCGGATCGCCTGAAAAGTAGGTCATTGTCTGAATAGGTTAACGAGACTCATGTTCCGGTTTGCTATGGTGATATACATACTTGTGCGTAAACTGTTATGTAAAAACAAATTGGATGGGCTTAGTTACGTCCCGACCACCCTTACACCCATTCGTCACCACTCGCCCCTTTCCGTAACCTCCAAGAAGACGAGACGCTATTCGGCTTGTCCCGGAATAACACGAGTTGGTCACGAATGCGTTAAATCCGTGAAATCGAATCCTGGACCCAAGGTCATGATCTTTGTCTTACATCACGACCGTTGACATAAACTGAAGTGCTAAAGAAAGTATACACCCATGTTTGATACGGCTGAAAGAAACAATAAATGTCTATTCAATGGTGATGTATTAGATCCGGGTATCATTGGTGATACTGGACCACCTGGTGTCTGATTTGGGGCGTGATCAAATCCAGTTTTAAAGTGGATATTTTCTGTTGTCTAGCAGGTAAGTCCACTAATGTGTCCCACGTCCTCAGATCTGATTTAAGCATACCTGCCATGTTTACCTGACACTCTGGTGCTGGTGTTGGGAACATACCTGGTTGGCTTTTGCTCTGTCCTCGTTATCTTTCTGATATAGACATGATATTACCAGCGGAAACATGTTCCCATGGGCGTGAACAAGGTTCAAAGGCAACCCGATGTTGAAAACCATATGGAAATCAGTGATGACACCAGGTGTTCGCGAAAAGGGAATCTGAACATGTCCTGTCCTTGTAGGATCCGCTGCTGCATTCGAACCCAAACCATTCTGATAGGGTGCAAACATCGCAGCTGCTTATATTTGACACTAAGACTGATAAAGAAAGGCTTTTTGGCCGATGGAGATATTAACAGTCACTGTTAAAGGGACTGAGTGAATGAGCATCTTTTACGCCGCTTTAAGCAATATTCCAGCAATCTCGGGGTAGGGGAACATCAGAAATAGGCTTCGCACTTTGTCCCTATGTGGAGAATCGAACCCGGAGTTTTGGCGTGACGAGCGAACGCTTTAACCACTAGCTGTTCCACTGCCATTAAATGTTAAAGATACGAACTACTTGTTTTAATTTTGGAGAAAAGAGCCGAAACTGCATAAAATTGGCGAGGTATTCCACCATTGATCTTCTAAGTGGTACACACGACTGAATGTGTTGTCGTAGCTCTTATCTTGTCTTGTTCACCCGTTTGGTCTTTCAGGTCGTTACACGGTGGTACTCCGACTGGTGAAGTAAGCTGTGGGTAAATACCACCTTGCATGCGCAGTGAAAGGTTTCCAGCTGACAACATTGGATCGCACAACACGAGACCTTCAGTAAACTGCCTCCTTGACTCAGTATGGTGTCATTACGAAGTAACATGCCAACATTAAAATATCGATGGCGGTGGGTCGCTTACCGATTTAGAAACAATGTGTGTTCATGAGTTGAAAAAAGGGATGATTGCAATCGAAATAGAGTTTGGGATTTGCTGATCCCGGGAAAGTCACGCAACCGATGTTTGAGGGGAAACGCGATACCATTTTCGTTTTATTTTCATGTTCCAAATTTACAAATAGCCAATTAAAATCAATTTAATATATGCATACGTTGGATGTATATGGACAGATTTGACTGTAGTGGGATCACTGGCCATCGATATATGTGAATCGCTTTCAAACTTTGAAGTCGCCGCATGCGACCTATTGTCTTATTGCTGAAATCGCCATATGTGAACAGTTTTCTTATTGTTTAAGTCACCATTGCTGAATTCGTCATATGTGAACCGTTTTCCTTTGTTGAACTGTTTGGCTTACGTAACGCTTATTTAAACATACATAAATAAATGAACACTCTCCAGCATCGCACCCCAAACCATCCATATAGCCACTAGGTACACCTATCAGTTTTATATAATTTCAAATGTTCGGTATAGTTGTTACAATGGTAAGTGCAACATCAATTAAATAAAACCCAAGATCATCATCATCATCATAATCATCATCATCATCATCATCGTCGTCGTCGTCATCACCATCGTCGTCGCCGTCGCAGTCTCCATCATCATCGTCATCATTGTCGTCGTCTTTGTCATCATCATCATCATCAGCAGCAGCAGCAACATCATCATCATCATCATCATTTTCATCATCAATAACAAGCCCCAGATTCCACGCCTGACGATATGCTCATGGCACTACACTATTTTTACCTCGGCAAATGGATCAGTGTGCTCTCGAATTTCATTCTCTGCTCCATGGGGAGTATACAATAAACACGTGCATATCATGTCGTCCATGCTGACCAACTTTAGTTTTCCGTCTACGACACAGTGATGTTAACTGCCCGATTCTATCGAATGCAGAGACAGTAAAGATTTACACAAGATATTATAGTTATCTTTAAAGAATGGCCTGGTAGTAATTATATATTATTGAGTAATAATTACCGGTCTCCTCGTCGACTACAGTAACACGCTTTCTCTTCATATTTCCTGAGTATCTATAAGATAAACCCTATTAACCACACACCTTACCGAATCACGCAGGTGACCATGGCAACATTCAATCGATATTTCTCGGCTTGGAAATCTTTGATGGTATAGGCGGAAGCCGCGTGCCGCAGTGCAACATGGTATAGTCGTCTGCTCCGTACGAATCTTCAATGGTGCGACTGTCACTTGTCCAGTCTCGCTGCATCAATCTGAGGTAAGACTTGCCTTTACAGTTTCGTATATGTATCTGACATCAATCAAATACGAGTACATTGTCTGCAAACCTTTACCGAAGCACACATCGGAGTTGACCAACGATGTCCGCTGGCAAATCGATGACTCTCCGTTCACAGCTGAATTGGGTGCAGTGTTGGTATGGGCTGTTCGGCTCTGTTACGATGCGCCAGGCTACAGAGGAACCTATGGAACTGTTACTCTTGGTACTTAATCGCCCCAGTCTGCTGCCAGCATTGATTTCTTAGGGAGAAGGGGCAGGGAGGGGCAGGACTTTGTGGGGATGAGGTCCTCGCCATGGGAGAGCTTGTCTATGGTTGTCATGTTGCACACACACTCATGACCTCGGCCAGGGTGTACAGTAGTTCTGTTGTCATGACTATTACTTATGGTGACCACGGACCTCTGACATGCTGACATTTGTAGAAGATCTAATGTTAATATGTTGACACGAATGTACATTTATTACGTGTAAGGGTTGATAATGTACATGTGTCTAGATAGCCGTCGATGTGTTTACAAACGCGTAGGACGACGATAGATTTTGTATAAAACGCCGTGTTAAAATCAACAGCCATCGAACAATTACATTATGCTATGAGTACGGAAGTAACATAACAGAAACCAAGCGAAGGCAACCTAATCGATGCCAGTACAGGGCAAACACCAAAAATCTGCTAAACCGTAATTTTTAGCGGAAAGATATAAAACTGGTATGTTATATGTCATATTTTTAAATGTAAGAAGAAAAAGGTCATAGCTGATTATGACGATATAAGAGGATCAACGTTGCAACGGGTTTAGAGAGGTAGGAATAATTCGCTTAACGGCAAACTCAAATGGACATTTAAGCCTGATATTAACATCAGAGCCTTCAGGTGATTGTCGTATTGAGAATTCCTTCCTGAAAGTTATATTTAATAGTCCCTACTTTGTGACATTAACAAGAGTTAGACATATTTGTCTACCTTGTTCTTTTACATGGAATATTTCCTTTAAATGTTAAACGTGATACCCCTAATATCAGATCTTCGATCGTCAAGACATTTGCACCCTTTAACCTCTGATGTGGACATGTTAAATGTTATACATGTAACATCCATTCGTGCAAAAACATCACTGTCACTACCTCCAACACTACACTACCCGTAAAGCATCTACCATCACAATCACTACCACCTTCAACACACAACCATTAGTGTAGCAACCATCACTGTCACTACCTCCAACACTACACTACCCGTAAAGCATCTACCATCACAATCACTACCACCTTCAACACACAACCATTAGTGTAGCAACCATCACTGTCACTACCTCCAACACTACACTACCCGTAAAGCATCTACCATCACAATCACTACCACCTTCAACACACAACCATTAGTGTAGCAACCATCACTGCCACTACCTTCAACACTACACTACCCGTAAAGCATCTACCATCACAATCACTACCACCTTCAACACACAACCATTACTGTAGCAACCATCACTGTCACTACCTCCAACACTACACTACCCGTAAAGCATCTACCATCACAATCACTACCACCTTCAACACACAACCATTAGTGTAGCAACCATCACTGCCACTACCTTCAACACTACACTACCCGTAAAGCATCTACCATCACAATCACTACCACCTTCAACACACAACCATTAGTGTAGCAACCATCACTGCCACTACCTCCAACACTACACTACCCGTAAAGCATCTACCATCACAATCACTACCACCTTCAACACACAACCATTAGTGTAGCAACCATCACTGTCACTACCTCCAACACTACACTACCCGTAAAGCATCTACCATCACAATCACTACCACCTTCAACACACAACCATTAGTGTAGCAACCATCACTGTCACTACCTCCAACACTACACTACCCGTAAAGCATCTACCATCACAATCACTACCACCTTCAACACACAACCATTAGCGTAGCAACCATCACTGCCACTACCTCCAACACTACACTACCCGCAAAGCATCTACCATCACAATCACTACCACCTTCAACACACAACCATTAGCGTAGCAAACATCACTGCCACTACCTCCAACATAACACTACACTCACCGTAAAGTAACTACCATCACAATCACTACCACCTACAACACACAACCATTAGTGTAGCAACCATCACTGCCACTACCTCCAACACTACACTAACCGTAAAGTAACTACCATCACAATCACTACCACCTTCAAAACACTACCATTAGTGTAGCAACCATCACTGCCACTACCTCCAACACTACACTACACTACCCGTAAAGTAACTACCATCACAATCACTACCACCTACAACACACAACCATTAGTGTTGTTATTAGCAACCATCACTGCCACTACCTCCAACACTACACTACCCGTAAAGTTACTACCATCACAATCACTACCACCTTCAGCACACATTAACCATCAGTGTTGTTATTAGCAACCATCACTGCCACTACCTCCAACACTACACTACACTACCCGTAAAGCAACTACCATCACAATCACTACCACCTTCAACACACAACCATTAACGTAGCAAACATCACTGCCACTACCTCCAACATAACACTACACTCACCGTAAAGTAACTACCATCACAATCACTACCACCTACAACACACAACCATTAGTGTAGCAACCATCACTGCCACTACCTCCAACACTACACTATCCGTAAAGTAACTACCATCGCAATCACTACCACCTTCAAAACACAACCATTAGTGTAGCAACCATCACTGCCACTACCTCCAACACAACACTACCCGTAAAGTAACTAGCATCACAATCACTACCACCTACAACACACAACCATTAGTGTTGTTATTAGCAACCATCACTGCCACTACCTCCAACACTACACTACCCGTAAAGTAACTACCATCACAATCACTACCACCTACAACATACAACCATTAGTGTAGCAACCATCACTGCCACTACCTCCAACACTACACTACCCGTAAAGTAACTACCATCACAATCACTACCACCTTCAACACACAACCATTAGTGTTGTTATAAGCAACCATCACTGCCACTACCTCCAACACTACACTGCACTACCCGTAAAGCAACTACCATCACAATCACTACCACCTTCAACACACAACCATTAGTGTTGTTATTAGCAACCATCAATGCCACTACCTCCAACACTACACTAACCGTAAAGTAACTACCATCACAATCACTACCACCTACAACATACAACCATTAGTGTAGCAACCATCACTGCCACTACCTCCAACACTACACTACCCGTAAAGTAACTACCATCACAATCACTACCACCTTCAACACACAACCATTACTGTAGCAACCATCACTGTCACTACCTCCAACACAACACTACACTAACCGTAAAGTAACTACCATCACAATCACTACCACCTACAACACACAACCATTAGTGTAGCAACCATCACTGCCACTACCTCCAACACTACACTACCCGTAAAGTAACTACCATCACAATCACTACCACCTTCAACACACAACCATTAGTGTTGTTATTAGCAACCATCACTGCCACTACCTCCAACACTACACTACCCGTAATGTAACTACCATCACAATCACTACCGCCTTCAACACACAACCATTAGTGTAGCAACCATCACTGCCACTACCTCCAACACTACACTACCCGTAAAGTAACTACCATCACAATCACTACCACCTCAACACACAACCATTAGTGTAGCAACCATCACTGCCACTACCCCCAACACTACACTACATTAACCGTAAAGTTATTAGCATCACAATCACTACCACCTCAACACACAACCATTAGTGTAACAAACATCACTGTCACTACCTCCAACACTACACTACACTACCCGTAAAGTAACTACCATCACAATCACTACCACCTACAACACACAACCATTAGTGTAGTAGCCATCACTGTCACTACCTCCAAGACAATACAACACTAACCGTAAAGTGACTACCATCACAATCACTACCACCTTCAACACACAACCATTAGTGTAGCAACCATCACTGCCACTACCTCCAACACAACACTACACTAACCGTAAAGTAACTAGCATCACAATCACTACCACCTTCAAAACACTACGATTAGTGTAGCAACCATCACTGCCACTACCTCCAACACTACACTACATTAACCGTAAAGTAATTAGCATCACAATCACTACCACCTACAACACACAACCATTAGTGTAGCAACCATCACTGCCACTACCTCCAACACAACACTCACCGTAAAGTAACTACCATCACAATCACTACCACCTTCAACACACAACCATTAGTGTAGCAACCATCACTGTCACTACCTCCAACACTACACTACCCGTAAAGTAACTACCATCACAATCACTACCACCTACAACACACAACCATTAGTGTAGCAACCATCACTGCCACTACCTCCAACACTACACTACCCGTAAAGTAACTACCATCACAATCACTACCACCTTCAACACACAACCATTAGTGTAGCAACCATCACTGCCACTACCTCCAACACAACACTACCCGTAAAGTAACTACCATCACAATCACTACCACCTTCAACACACAACCATTAGTGTAGCAACCATCACTGCCACTACCTCCAACACAACACTACCCGTAAAGTAACTACCATCACAATCACTACCACCTTCAACACACAACCATTAGTGTTGTTATTAGCAACCATCACTGCCACTACCTCCAACACTACACTACCCGTAAAGTAACTACCATCACAATCACTACCACCTCAACACACAACCATTAGTGTAGCAACCATCACTGCCACTACCTCCAACACTACACTACCCGTAAAGTGACTACCATCACAATCACTACCACTTTCAACACACAACCATTAGTGTAGCAACCATCACTGTCACTACCTCCAACACAACACTACACTAACCGTAAAGTAACTAGCATCACAATCACTACCACCTTCAACACACAACCATTAGTGTAGC